TGAAGTCAGCACATGCAATCTAAGGGTAGTAAGTAACCGATTTGCTAGTAGTTGTCTCTTGAGCTATATCTTGAGCAATTTGATAAGGTTTTGGCTCAAAATTTCAGGGAATGTGTAATTTCATGTTAGTAAACTTTGTACATAAGATTTATGACATTTGAGTATTGGGTTCTTGAGATATTAAGATAATAGTGTTCGGGTGCTTGTAAATTAGGGTTTAAAGTATCTGCTAGGGTTTCTTAGATGCCAAAAGATCGGGAGTGAATTTGCGGTTGGTTTTTTTTGTGATAAAATTTAAGGGTGAACTCTACCTACCCTATAAATTTGAGACAAACTGAACGGTTAGATCAAGAGTTATGATTTTCTAAAGTTCTTGATAAGAAAACCCTTCGTGGGAAAAATATGTTTTGAAGGGATTTTGATATATTTTGAGTTTTATGCAAAATAAATGAGTTTTGGGAGGCTAACACAAGATTCATATAAAGGTTTAAGCTACACTCTCTATAGCTAGATACCCAGTGTATTCCCAGATAGCAAATCACGCCATACGACAATGTGTTATGGCCAAAGCCAAGGTGGAGGCTTTGGTTGGAATATGATCTCCACCTTTGATAGGATCAATGTTATATTATGTATATTTTAGTTTAAAAATGCAACAAGTACCTAATTGTGAAAGATAAAAAAAAATGCAACTATAACTCTACTAAGTCTAATAGAATCTTAAATAAACTTTAAGTAATCTTAATCAAATTTTAACTTATTCAAAGTAAATTTTTAAAAAGTTATAAGAGAAATACAAAAGAATTTATAAATTAATTTCAAATTTATAAACCTTAAAAAATATCAATAATTTTAAAGAAATAGTAGAAATGAAAAAAAAATTCTAAAAAAATACTAAAAATAAGAATTTTAAATAAAACTTAATTATATTTTAATTTAATCTTAATTAAAATCCTAATAAAAAACTTAATGAACCTTAACCAAATCCTAGGTAAAATCCTAATGAAACTCCAATCAAATCCTAAATCCTAAATAAATCCTAATAAAATCTCAAGAAAATCTTAAATAAATCTTAATCAATTATCATAGTTATTTAAAATCTCAATAAATATTAATTTAACCATTTTTTTTCACTAAAATTTTATCTAAACTTGAATCAATAAGCAATTATTAAGCTTACAATTTGATAAGAATTAAATTCACCAATTGCAAGAAAAGCTTCCAAAACCTTTGAGATATTGACAACCTTCCTTCTTTCACTTGAATGTTGATCTTTCAACAAAGATTCTTATTTGTTAAATTATTCAATTGTTTCAAAAATTGAATTGTGCATAGATATTTAAGTCTAAATTGTTTTCACTAATTTTTCCTTCAATCAAACAAGTAGATATTTCTAAATTAAAAAATCTCTTATTGATCCTAAATTTCAATTATCCAAGTCTATAATCCAAAAAACTCTCATAATCTTCAATCTAACCTATTAATTGATATAAAAAAATTCAAATTCATTTATAACAATTACAAAGACAAATTACTAATGGTTTAGTTATAAATATGCTATAAAATTCATAAAATCCTTGAATTTGTATACTTATTTTTATTTCACAAAATCTAAATCCACCAAGTACATTAGTAATTTTAAAAATCCTTCAAAACTTCAATATTAATCCAAGTGACATATAACCAACTCTCCTTTTTTAAATTAAATTAAATTAAATTTTTAATAAGTTTGTTTCCTAATCCCACTTTTCAATTGACAAAAGAACTTTAGAGATACTGTAGGTGGGTGGTTTTGTACCTTAGAATCTGATTTTGATCTAGGTTCACAACTAATCCTCCTTGGATATCAATTTTTGATAATTTTAGGTAATTTTTACTTAAACATATTATTAAATCTCTCTTAAAAGATACATATATTATTTACTTATCTTATTTATTTTAATTTGATGCATTCATGCTCTTATAAAGTAAATAGAAGTTCTTTGTACAAAAATAATATTAAGACTAAAAATTTTATTATCTTACTATTATTATTTTTTATTTTTTTTATTACATATTTCTACTAGGCTCCTCTTTAATAACATAAATATTTTTATTTTTTTACTATATAGTCATGTTAATATACGATAGTGGATGCCAAGCCACTTGTAGAGGCAAATACTCCAAGTAGTATGGAATTGCCATTGCCAATTGGAATAGATGTTAGACTCCTTACAAAAGCAAAGGCTTTGATTGGAGTAGATTTCTCATCACTGATTGGAGTGGATATTGGTTTACTTATGAAGGTGGAATTGCCGACTAAGGTAGGATTTCTATTGCTAGTAAGAGTATTGTGTAGAGCAAGAAACATGTTAGTAGCTAAGGTTGAACTGGATCAAAGTTCACTACTAAATGTGTCTCAATTAGATAGAATGTAGAAATATGAGTACAAAAGATGATATACTTTAGGAGTTAGAATGATAGAAATTACATACATTGTATTTTGACATATTATTATTTGTTTTGGTTGTGATATAAAGATAACAAGCAAAAATGTGACTGTTTAAAAAAAATTAGATTATTCTAAAGAGAGAAAACTACAAGCTTAGTGTAATCTTTGTTAAAGAGGTGATGTTTTTTTTTTTTGATTAAGATATTGCTACATTATTAATCATTTTTTCAAATTGAAAAAAGATTTTTTTGAAGATCAGGAATATAAAGTGTATTTATAAGGCAAATGATTTTACCATTGATGAAGCAAATTTCTACATTTCTTTCATCACAAATGAGAAGATTGGTATCATTACCTAAGTAAACTTTGTAGTCACTAAGTAACAATAATGTAAAATTGATGAACTATTATTTATTACGTATTAGATGGTCAATGGCAAAAAAGTCAACAAACTAATATGCATCTTTTGATTCACCTTGATTTGATGATATCTTAGAATGAAAAGCTTGGATGAAGTAGATATGAATATAGAATATAGGAGGTATTTCTTCTATATTATTTAGTTTCTATGTTATTTTATTTTTGTAAGAATTATGAGATGTTGTTGTTGTATTTGCAACATATTTGAATTTCTTAAAGCAATTTAAATTCCAATGCCCCATCTTTTTGCAATGAAGATATGATGTTTTTAATTTGACTTTATTTTTTTGTATATTTGTGGTCTTTTGAAGGTGATTTTGACACTTGTTTATGTTGCCACTTGGCTTTGCAATTGGCAAAGAATGCTTGGGACTTAGATGACAAGTTTTTCATAGTTGTCTCTTTTTGAAGGAAGTCGGCAATCAATTTTTGTAATGTTGCAATCCTTGTTATGCATAATGTTTAGATTACAATACCATATTATAATGGCATGAATTTCATTAGGGTAAAAAATTCCATTTGTAATGGTATGATCAATCAAATAGAGTGACATTGTTCAAATATGGTCTTGAAGTTGTAGAGATATTGTATGATGGATTTTTTTGCTTTCATCTAAAATATTATGACTATTTGTGTGGGTGAGTTTAAGTAACTATACCATTTGCGGAGTAGATATTTTTTAAAGCCAATTGTGCTTTATTGGAAATTTTGTATGCTCCTATGTATAAAAAGATAAAATTGCATATGCAATCTCAAAGTATTCTAAGTGCAATATTATCCTTTTTCTTCAATGTGAGTATTGCTACTTGGTTTATTATTATTGATGTGATTTCTTTTGTTATTGGTTTTGGTTTACTTTCTTTTTCACTCACTATCTCCTACAATTCTTCCATTTGTATTTAATCTTGATTTTTTGCCTCCAAATAGTGTACCAAAATCTATCAAATTTTAGTCATTTCTAAGTGGTGATGTTGTTTGAAGTCATTTTTGTGAGGGAAGGTCTATAGATGCCCTAATTTTTGTGGAGAATGTCTTCATTACAACACTTCTTCTTGTATACTTTTTTTCTTTAGTTTTCTATAATTCTCTAAGCTTTGATACCATATTGGAATTAGGAGTGTAATTCTAACATTATTTTATTTTATTTTATTTTTATTATATATGAAAAAATGATTTTATATTGTATTGTGTTTCTATTTTATCTTATCAAAGGAGGTGAAACACAAAGAGTTGTGACTTTGCAACAATGTCTGTTCAGCATTTATATTGCCAAATATTAGTTATGTATTGACTTTGTGATTTCTAATAGTTTACAGGTGCCCTAGTTTCTTTGTAGAACATCTTCAAAAAAACTTCCTTGTCTTAAATGTGTTTATTACTACTTTTTTAGAATTTACAAATTCTTCTAAAGATACTTTGATACCATATTAAAACTTAACAATGAGAGTGATAACTAATTCTAAGTTCTATTATGAGTAATAATTATTTTTATTGACAATGAGTTCGTTTAAAAGTGAATTTATAGTGCCGAGAGGACAACGCAACTGGAAGGGATGTGCCCTGTCGACAGGGTGCGCCGTTCCTGAAGAAGCACACTCTGTCATGGACGAAGGTGCATAGTTACTACAGAGACGCACTCTGCTGATATTCTAATACGCTCTCGACGGGATGCGGCGTTTTGCAAAGAAAGCAAATTTGATTATATTCTAATAAGGCTGGAAGAATCAATCAGAAGAGGAAGGAATCTTGCGGCTTCAGAAGAGGAATCTTGTGGAGGCTTGGGGAGGGCGAGAAGCGGAAGCAACGGAAAGGGAAGGGAAAGAGGGGGGGGGGTGGGGATTTTACCGCAGCTGTGCGAGGAAGGAAGGAAGGAGAGGGAAGGTAGAGCACGTGAATCCTCCACAACCAACTCCGACGTTGCAAGATCTCGCGGTCAGGGTTTTAAATGTTGCGTCCGTGAGCCTCGGGGGCCAGGGCCAGGCAGTACGCCAATCACGGATAAGCGGCGTGGATCCCAGGTGGCTCGGAATCGCGGCGGACGGATATTGCCTGCAGGAAGAGCGGCCCCATTGATGGGGGGGGGGGCATCAGGGAAGGAACTAAGGCAGGGGGTCTCGATTCCTAAGCATCCCCTTTCGCTCTCAAAGGTGGGGGGGGGGGGTCACACTGTCACGGAGCTTTTCTCTCGGCGCGCCGTCTCCGATTTTCCCCCTCTACCCCTGTTCCCTCGGCAGCCTCTGTGGAGGAGAAGCTGAGAACACTCTAATCTCTCTCTCTCCCTCCCCGTCCAATCCCCACCTGCATCGTTTAACCTGCCTCTCATCTGCTCGCTACCATTTGCAATGGTTCCGCGTTGCTGTCATCCCACCCTTCCTTGCCACTTCCGATGCGAGGCTATCAACGTTATGGGCTTTGTAGACCGGCGAAAGTGGAGGTGTAGTTAGTTTGCCTGGGTCGGAGCGAATTGGGTTGGCGTTGGGAGGCTGGGGGATTAGGGCGCTTGTTAGGTTGAATCGATTGGGTGTAGAAGTAGTAGTGTGCCGGGGGTGTGCGGATTTTGGTGTCGACGGGGACGGGCAGGTGGGGAGTTGTGGGCTTTTTTGGATGTGAGAGGGCGATTCACGAGGCGGCGGCGTCCCATTTGAGGTGGGAGTGACTGGATGTGATTGAGTGTGTAACTTCTGGGAAAAAAATAGTGAGTGATTGCCACCTACTGATTGCGAATCCGGGACTTTGTGAAGCTGGTGTTTTCCTTTTTTTCTTTTTTTTGGTGGTCGGAGCTTGACTCGTGGGTTTGTGGTTCCCAGGGTCCGGCGATTTTAGGTGATTTCGCCACTACTTACGAGACTCGTGCGACTTTGGGCGTATACGTTCGGTTATCGGTACCGCGGTTAGTCGATGGATCTCGCAGGGTACAGTGCTGGTAAATCGACGTGATTTAGTCGTGCAGGATTTCAAGAGGATCTGGATTTAGTAGGCGAGTGTTTACAGGTTTGGCGCAAACGAGCTGGTAATTGTGCATATGTCGTGCGTTCGGGATCTTCATGGTCGCATTGCCAGAAACCTCCACGATGCAAGAGGTAGCACACATTTGGAGCACGCTGTGCATTGTGTTCAGGGATTTGCAACTATAAATGCGACATTTTATAGTTTTTATTGTCATCAGGGGATACAAATTTAAGGAGTTCCTCTCTACCGAGACTTACCATGTTGACGCAAATAGAACCTCATAGGCAGTTGATTTCTGTAATTTGATTCATCCTCAGTCTGTTGCGTTCGAATCTCAATCCCGGAACTTGAAATAGTGAATTTTCAGTGGTATGGATCGGGGTTTAGCTGAACTGCAACAGTAGTCAGCGATGGCAGGAAGAATTCTACTCTAGAGCAGTCGACAGATGGACGAAGGCCAGTGGACTCCTTGCACATGGTGATGCAGAACGGCAAAGACCACATGCGTGGACAATTCCTCCCACCCGCTATTCAGCTCGGTCTCAATCATGTCATTGCACATGTATCCTCTCCTCCCATCTCCCCCGCGAATTCCCCGCGCCACCGCCGGGAGAGATCTCTCGGGGGGCGCACCATGGCCATTCGCGAGCCGAAGGTCAAGTACGGTTCACCCGTTGTCAAGCATCGCGTGAACTCGACATGGTCGCAGAAGCTGACCCACTTCTTGCTCTCATTCTTCCGGAGACGCAACCGGGTGCTGCTCTTCATCCCTTTCATCTATGTCACGGGCATGCTGCTCTACATGGGGGGCGATATCTCTATGGAATTTCCGCCGTTTCCTGGCCGTTATCGACCAGGCTCCGTGTACCGCAGCGATCAGGTGTTCGAGAAGTTGTGGCCTGAAATGGAGCGTGCCGACTCGTCTTCCTATGGGGTATGTATCTTCTATAAACCATCTACCCAATGCCGAATCAAATCATTTTCATGAAATTGAGAGAAGAATGAATTGTCGTAATTCAGTTTTTTACACTGGTTTTTGAAGGGCAAGTTATCAGAGCATCCTAACTAGATGGGAAGTTTCCTGTAGGTGGAGTTTGGTTCGCTACCTGACGCTGCTGGGGGCAGCCATGGACGGCAGGTCTTGTCCGCTTGGGAGTATCCCAAAAAGGGTGGAGGCTTTACGCCGTGTCTTAGTTCCATTAACCAGAAAGCAGGTACGCTTGTTGTAGACGGGCTTTAAAATCGCACCCGTTTCTCGTAGAGGGAGGGATCGGTGTGCGGGTATCTGTTCATCTGAACCACGTGCGGATTAGTTTTGTACTGCTTCTGTGATACCGGTAGAGAGCATGTTGTAGGCTTTCGTTGAGACGAGCTTCTTCTGCTGAAACTTCTCTGCTTGCATCTGCTGTAGGTTTACCAGAGTCAAACGGGTACATTCTCGTAGAAGCAAATGGCGGTCTAAATCAACAGCGCTCCACTGTATGTTTCTTTCTCCTTTTGCCTTGAGCCGAGTTCAAATGAAGAGACGTACTCTTAGTAGCTAAAACTCGCGGTGAGGGATGGTGTCCAATATGCCTTGTGTTTATTAATTCTAACGATAATGTGGCCGGAATGCAGATATGTAATGCCGTTGCCGTTGCCAAGCTTATGAATGCCACACTCATTATACCCCATTTTCATCTCAACAGTGTGTGGAAAGATCCCAGGTGTGCATTGTTGAATTTTCCTGGTGATTGATTTCGTGAGCTCTTAAGAACTATGGGAGACTAGACTAGGCTGAGGTGAAGGCTTTTTCAGTGCACACAGTGGGTTCTGCGCTTTCTTGAGGGATTTCACTCGTTCTTGTATTAAGCATGTTTTTCCTGCAACATTCAGCAATTTCGGGGAAATTTTTGATGAGGCTCACTTCATCGAATCCCTGTCTAAGGAAGTCCGAATACTTCGAGATTTGCCTCAAGAGTTACTTGATAAATTTGACAATGGTAACACGATATTCAAGCTGAAAGTGAAAGCATGGTCTCTCCCCCGTTTTTACCTGGAAGAAGCTCTCCCTGAGCTTTTAGAGAGAGAGTAAGTGCAATCATCTACTCGTCGTTCTCCTTACTGCGTCAATCAGCTGCCATACGTGTGACTTGATTAAGCCCGGAGCTTATCATCTGACCAAGTCTCACGGGGCTGTGTGGATGGCAGAGTTATCAGGTTCACGCCCTTTGCTAATCGTCTGGCATACGATGGCATTCCGAAGAGAATTCAAAAATTGAGATGCTACACCAATTTTGTAGCCCTGCGTTTCGCTCAGCCAATTGCTAATATGGGCAACATACTAGTTAAACGAATGAAAGCAAAAAGTGCGAAAACAAATGGCAATTATGTGTCTATTCACCTCCGGTTCGAAGAGGTACCGCATTTCTACTGCCCAGTTCTTATCTTAATCGAATGTCAACTGAAAGTAACTTTCTTTACAACACTATCTTTGATTTCTTTCTCCTTGAAAATCAATTATTGGTGGTGGGGTAATTTTATGAATTCGTTCGCTCCAGGATATGGTAGCTTTCTCCCAATGCGTCTATACTGGTGGCGAGGAAGAAAAAACTCGGCTTGACAATACTCGTGAAAGAGGTTGGCGTGGCAAGTTCACTAGAGAAGGCCGTGTGAATGCATCACCGGAGCAGATTAGGAGAAATGGAAAGTGTCCCTTGACGCCTGTTGAGGTGCGCTTAATTGACCTGGATTCAACGATTCACTGCAGAGAGTTCTGGGGTTGTTAATGACCAGTTTTGGTAGAGGATTTGCTATCAGTTGTGTGCAGGATGTTTACCCCATTTACATTGGGCGAGAAACACAGTTAGGGCTATCAAGTCAATCTTGAGACATTTCGTAATGGCAGGTGGGAATGATGCTGCGTGGAATGGGTTTCAGCAACAGCACACCTATCTATCTAGCTGCCGGATTGATATACAAAGGAGAGGAAAGCATGGAGCCGCTCCGAAGAATGTTTCCGTATCTTCAAAGCAAAGAAACTTTACTAACACCCGAGGAATATAAACAATTCAAGGTAAGCTTAGTTTTGCACTTCGCTCACCCTTTGGTTTTCAGACATCTTAAATGCATTTTTCACTGCTAGAGATTGCAGACATCTTACATATCTCGCTGCTTAATATTCGAGCGCACGGCACAAAGTCTCATGGGTCGATCTTCTACTTCTGCAGGGCTTTTCTTCGCGGTTAGCAGCTATTGATTACACCGTCTGCCTTCACAGCGAAGTGTTTGTGACTACACAGGGTGGTAATTTCCCCCAAATACTGATGGGACATCGCCGGTTTCTCAACAAAGGCCACTCCAAGACTATTAATCCTGACAAGCGACGCCTAGTCCTGCTACTAGACAATCCCCACATTGAGTAAGTCTTCACTGCAAAGCCTGGTTCTCGCATTTCTGGTTGAGCTAGTAAGTTGTGGACAGTTTTCTGGACCAAATCCGCGGACGAGGCGTGGTCAGCGCGAGAAAGTGAATCTGATAAACTGATCGATCCTGTCCGATGCGCAGGTGGGACGCGTTCCGGAAAATCCTGGTAGATATGCGGAGGCACAGCGACTTCAAGGGCTTGCAGCCCCGGAAATCGTTCCCCGTCAGTCCAAAAGCGTATTTCACGAACCCTCCCAAAGCGTCGGTATACACATTCCCCGCTCCAGAATGCATGTGTGCCGAGCCTGCAAACACTAGGACGGCGACGGAGGTGCTGGTCTCCAAAGCGTAGATAACGAAGACGAAACCGATCTGCGAGGGCTCATGTGCCCCCGAATTCTTTTCAAATAGTCAGGTAGGCGTAGCATTCTTCACAGATTCGTCATTTGTGGGCAACAGCCCCTCTTACTGTAATTTATCAGTCATCGCCGAGTTCATGATTTTTCTGTTTGTGAGCACACGGCCCGCGCGGGCCGCCTGTGGGTACCGGCCACTGCTTGGGTCCCCTGGTTTCAATAAACGTTGAAAACAAGTCAGATGTCTCCAGACTATCGCAATTCCGCTACCAACTCTGGGTCTTCCGCTCACAAGCGGCTTTTCATCCTTCGGATGGCATCTTCGATGCCGACACTGCTCCGATGGTCCCGAGCGTCGGAGGTGTCTCGCACGGTGTGCACGATGTAACTTCCTCGGCTACGCAACATGTTTCGACTGATTCTATTCATCAGCATTACATAATGTTGACATACAGTTGCATTTTTAATGCGTTTCATGTAACTGAACACTCACTCACAGCCGTAAAGCTCCCCGTGACCCATTTCTAGATGCCGATTCATGAGTTCACCGACACTTTCTTTGGAGAATCTCTCTCTCTCTCTCTCTCTCTCGCTGTTTTTTCAAATACAGAACTGTAACGGAAAATTTGAAATTTTTTCGTCGTTGTTGTTTCGTAATTTCGTTCATTTCTGTGATGTGGAAGTTTGGGGTCCGTTTAGCTTGATTTATTCGAATCTGAGTTTGATGTCCTCTGAAGAAGGATCGCAAATTACGAAATGTGAAGGAACAGAATGCAGTGTAAGTGACTTGTGATTGACAATAGCTTTGTTTAACTTGTGTGTAAATATAAACATGGTTTGAAATGAGGTTTGTGCAGCATCTTTGCTTAGCTGGTGGTGTAATAATTTTCTCAACTGTTTTTACGGACATCTATATTTTGTTGTTCTTGTGGTTTTTAAAATGTTTGCAATTGAAACATGTTAAGGAACTCTTACATGTGGGTCTGATGTAATGTCACATTTAATCTCTATTGATTGCAAAAAATATAAATAAATCATTTTAAAGACAAATATTCTATTTTCGCAATCCATTTCCACATATGATAATGTTTGTTTGTTTGTTTGTTTCTTTGCTTTTGTAATTTTTCGATGTCATTGTTTTAGTAAAATTAATTTGAATTTTTATCTCCAAAAATAATTCTAAATTTATCATATTGCTCTACATAAAGTTTATTTTAACAGTAGATATATGTAACAAACCTCAATTGTTTGTTTTTTAAAAATGTTCTTGAACATATTGTCTACCAATAAGACAATCTTTACAAAAACAACCTTTATGCCGAAAAAGGTATTGCCTTCAAACAGTATTGGTAAGAAACCAAACATAATAAGGAATTCACTTCAAACATTATTAGTAAGGAACCAAATTAAACTCTCTCTCTATATGTATTAAACCAAATCAAAAAATAAAGTCCATATAAGAATGCCCTACTTGAATTGTATATATATTTTTAAATTTTTTTTGTGTCTATATCTATATCTATATATATATATTCTGTTTGATATCTTATGTCGATTGATTGCTTGAGCAGCAGCCTGACTTGATCATCGTCTCTGTTTCGACAGTTCTAGAAAATTCTTTCACCAGCTACAGCACCATTCAAGTTCACACACTCTTTGGAAATGCACCAATTACTCCTCCGAGTGTTGCTACGAACTGGGTCTTAGCTCAGCCAAATCATAACAAACCACTGATGAAAGTATCCTTGTATTTGGCATCCTGACCGTGCCGATCTTCTGGATACGGTACATGTGAAGATGAACTTTGATGTACACGATGGAATCATCATGCCAAGATCTTTTATGTTCTGGCTTTCGTCGACTCAATCACTAATCGTCCATGCGCTGTTACATGTAGTTTCCAGCAGTGCTGTGGAACTTATCAATGCAGGCTCATGAAAGCTTCAATGCCATCCAGGTTTTGTCTGGCATCGTCTTCGTGGTCTTTCCCAACCTTCGCGTAATCGACACAGGCCAGCAGAGCTACATTCAATGCATCATCGACAAGAGGACTATTTCATGTTAGACCAGAATTGAACAAGCTCGACGACGAATTCATGATATCAGCACAGTTACCTGAAACTGGAACCAAACAGGACTGACGTAGTAGATGAATAAAACTGAAGGTTTAACTGTTGTTGGTGATCAGCTACTCCTACAAAATCGTACTCCAGGATATTATATGAAATCACTATGTGCAACTATAGGCAAGTATTCCGGAAACAAGTTCATGAAAGATGCTGATTTTCAACAAATAAACCGCTTCAAATGCTGAATGAGCTCCCAAAGCACCGATAGTACCTCATATGTCAGGCTTACATGAAGGTTTCCGTATCCAACTTTTTCCAACCAGTTTGGCAAAACCTAGTTATGCCAGTCCAAGCCAATAACGTGCACAATTGAAGAGATTATGGTGGAAGTGTTGAGTCTTTCACAAACTAGGTTGGCTTTGAGGGTAGATAATGGATTGCATTAATTGATATAAGAATTATAAGAGTAGCATTGTGTTGGGTGTTTACAAATTTCTTATTAATGAATGTTAAGTATAATACAAAATATATTCTGCAAGGAAGAGAACCTCACTAGTAGTAACTCCTCGAAGGATGTGATCACTAGTAGTAACTCCTCGAAGGGATGTGATGGGGTGGAACTATTCTCAATCTATTACCATTATGTATGGCAATTAACCATAATATATTTTTTTATTCTAATATGCTTGCTTAGTCGTTATACATAGATGATTGTAGTTTATTTCCAATAATATCTAAACATAGTAAGTATTGAATTATTTTTGGACTAGATAGTATTTTGGTAAAAAGATTTGCTTGCATTGTTGTAATAGGACAAAATTGAAATAAGAGTTTTTTGAGCATAGATAGTTGCCAAATTAAATGATATACCACAACTATGTGTTTAATTTGATTATGGAACTTGGTGGTATTGACAAGTTCTATTGCCAATTGAGTATCACAAAAAATTATTGAAAGAGCAAAAAGATCTCCTTGTATATTATAGAGGAGATGGCAAAGCTACACTACCTTAGAGGCAGTAGTAGCCATGGCTATGTATTTTACCTCTGTGCTTGACAAGGCAGTTGATTTTTAATATGATAATCCCTAATTAACTACTTTGTTAAATAAGATATAGCAGTAGTCTAAGATTGATTGTTGTTGGTTGATGTGGACAACCCAATCTACATTATTAAAGTCGAATGGTGGTTTTTGATTAGGATTTTGGCAATATTCAATATAATAACTTAGTATTCCTTGAATATAACAAAATATGTGCTTGTAGGACGTGATGTAGGCTCATCCGAGGTTGTGCATATATTGAGCAAGTAGACTGATTGTAAAAGCTAAGTTGAGCCAATGTTATGATATAACATGGCTAGTAAGTAAAAGAATGAAAAAAATATTATATTATAAAATATTGTAACAAATTATCTTAGAAATATAGATAATAGTCAAAGGATAATAAAACTAAAGGTACAAATGCTGAATTTTTACAAAGTGGACTTCTATTTATTTTGTAGAGCCATAAATAAGATAAAACAAGGTAGACTAGAAAAATAAAGTATATAGGCACACGTAGAAGAAAGTTCAAAGTTTATTTTAATAAAAATTATCTCAAGAAGATAAAAATTGATATTTGGAGAGGACTAATTGTCAACTTGGATTGAAATCAGACCCCGAGACACATAACTATATACTTACGATAACTACAAGGTTTTTTTATAAATCAAAGAGTGGGATTTGGAAGAGGACTTCATAGGATTTTATAAAACATTGGTTTTGAGCAATTTAAGTTTTGAACTTTGTCAAGTCAAGGTTGTTTTGGATGACTTTGGATTTTGTGAAATAAAATAGAATTTAAAATTTAACAAGTAGATTAAGTAGATTAGGATCTCAAAAATTGAATTTTTAGGTCTAGTAAGGTCATCCAAGATTTGCAACAATTTGTTAATTAGATTATTTTTTTTTTATTGGAACTAAAAATTGACTTGACTTCTAATACTTATGAAATTTTTTAGAGGAAGTTAATAGTTCAATTAGGAGTTATTGCTACTAGAAAATTAATACTAAGATCAAAGATGGAGGCTAGCTAATACTTAAGTGGATTATTATATTTTTCTTCCATTTTATAAGTTCAATTTTCTTCAAATTTTTTGTACTTATTTTTGAATAAGAGATTTAGAGGTGTATCAAATTTTAAGTAAGATTAATAGTTAAATCAATAAACATTGAGGTTCTAAACTTCTTTAAGATTAGTTTGAATTAGTTAGGTTTTGGTTAGGATTTGTTTAGAAATTAATTAGGATTGAAAAAAATAGACTTATTATTCTATTTTAATGCAAGCCATGCTTCAATAGATATTTTACATGGGCCAACTTGAAAATTTTAGAATTATTAACACAATCCTAAATAACTACAATTGTAATATGATCATTTTTTTTTTATATTTTAATTTTTATTTGATTCCTTGATATTATTGTATTTGCTTCTAGGATTGGTATTGGTGCTTTTTTTTTGCCAAAAACCAACTTCAATATTTTCTCTATTTCAAATTTTATTTATAAAATTTACCTCCAAACTATATATCAAGAGCCATTAAATTTTAGCTATTCTTTGGTAATGATGCAATTAAAAGCCATGCTCTTAAAAAAAGATCTACTTATGTCCTAGTTTTTGTACAAAAGGTCTTTGAAAAAGTAATTTTTCTTGTAAGCTTTCTATTTTTTTTAGTTGGCTACTTTTCTTAAGTTTATTCTAATTTTTTTTGCTCTAATATCATATAAGAATTATAAAAGTAATATTGTGTTGATTTTTTTATAAATTTTTTATTAATAAATATTGAATATAATACAAAATATATTTTGCAAGAAAGATAATAAAAAATTTAAAGTAAAAACTGTCACTTGAAGATAGTCTAAAATAAAGATAATAAAAAATTTAAAGTAACAATGTGGCAAAAAGGTTAGAACAATTTAACTAAAAAAGAACATAGTACAAAAATTAATGAAGTGAAGAAGAAAGAAGATAGGAATGAAAGTATTTTATTTGATGAATGACATATATGTGACAAAGTTGGTGACTGAAGGGCGATACAATTACATAGCAGTAGGCCAAAGTATTAAACCAAGCATGAAGCAAAATCATCTATAGCATCAAACAAAGAAGAACTATAAGCATATCTAAAACTAAAATATGTGCAACAATAACAAGTAAAGAGATTTTATATAGTGGACTTGTTCTATGTGATGACCTAAATTTATACTACTAGGGCTTTTAAATAGAGGTAAGATAATCAAAAAATATAAAAAAACTAAAAAAATAAAAAGAAGTGAATAATTGCAACAAGGAGATTGAAAAAGAGAGGTAATAAGAAGAAAAAAAATGGAATGTATATGTGTTGGACAAAGCCTATGATGTAGGAAGGAAACAATCAATACATGG